GTATAAACATAATTGTTTGTCTATAATTATGTGTCAGAATTTGGTTGGTTTCGTTTATTTTAAATAAAACAAACAAAGACAGCGAACCCCTAGGAGAAGGTAACAATAAAATAGGTAATTGAGAGAAGGAAAAAGAAAAAGAAATTCAATTTTAAATCAAGTCCTGACGCCTAATTTGTTATTAGTTTCATGGGCTAGAAGATCATTCTTTAATGTATGAATATGCAGCATTAAAGTTTACTTTTACACTTTTGTGCAAGCGCGAAATTTATTCGGTTCTGTCTGTTATATGTACATAGACTGCCTTTGTGTGTTACAGTTTGTTGCATATTGATTCGTTGATGAATGACGACTAAGCTAGACGGAGAAAACCAATGAAGAGAGTAGCACATTCGGTTCGAATCGGTTTCGTTCGGCGAGGATTCGTATCTCCGGAGCCAGATGAATATCAATCATCGCCGAAAGTTCAACAACTACCACACCAACAGTCAGCTCTCCGGCAGGTAGGCAAGAAGTTAAACTAAAGCCTGAATGTGGAACAGGACGAACAGCGTTGCATAGTATCTAAAGAACTGCAGGACAAGGTATTCTGACGACCTGTAATCTACCCTATCGGAGTTTAGCCATCCTGACTAGGACAGGACGGGTTGCCCGAATTCTACAGGGCTCTAGTAGTATCCTATTTGATAAAGAGCGAATGCAGGATTATGAACAATCGAACAGAATAGAAGATCACAGCTAGGAAGATGCATGCGCATGCAAGATTTATACACTTGATAGGATTTTTAATGCGAACTCGGACATCTAGTTCAACTTCAATGCTGTATTTCACTTCTCATTACACACACACATCCTCAAGTTAATAAGGATATGATGTGATCGACTTGATTGTTAGCAGAGTGCCAGATCTATTAGTTAGCAAAGAAGCTAGAGTGATTGATGATCTCATACAATAACATCACCAGGTCATCAAATGTGAACAAAGGCTGACCTATATGTGATTGTGCCTCGTTGCATATGTGTTCCTTGCATGGATTATTCTGATGATCATATATGGGATTATTTTGGGCAATGTTATTAGTGAAAAATTGTATCGATTCACTGGTTCTTCACTGGATCCTCTCGGACCGATTATTGAGACATAACGGTGGTGTCGGCGATGGTAGTTTAACTTTGTTATTCAAGGATAGCAAAAAGAACGACTTAGTTCTTTGGTAGTGTTCTCCTACGTGTGGGGAGATGAGCAGCGAAAAGCTTAGTTAGAAACGTCAATGACTTGTTGACGCTCTATGAGAAACACGACTAGACAACAAATATTGAAGGGATAGTGTGCAATTATTTTGTCCAATAGCCAGATTTGGCGCCTCCGGCTTACTCCGTTTCCTTTGCTCACTAAATGTTCGAACACGCTAGTTGATTGTGCCATCTGACAGATATGAAATTGATACCTTTACCAAATGAAGTTTATTCGGATCGAAATGATGAAGTTTCCGGAAAATTGACCCGAATATGATGAAGGTCTTGATTCACCACTAAGACGGGTATATATTCTGAAAGCAGACACGCAACTAAAAACTGAGGTGACAAAAGAAAAATCGAAAATCAAGTAAAACATCTTATCTCATCCTTTGGAAAAGGAGGTCTTAATGCGAAGATGATGGTAGTTTTATAAGCCATTAAATATTGATTGTATCGATTGATAGGGACTTTGTTCATCGATATCGTTCTAGTTCTGGAATAGACGGATCAGCCGTAGTGCGCCTTTGAGAGATGAAGTTCAGAATCAACAATATATTGTCGCACCTGGAACACCCCAAAATGTTCGCCTACATGACATTACCGAAGCAAATAATAGCAAGCAACATTATCCAGAGGTGAGATTAATAGAAATTATATTTGTGCTAAGATTATTATAAACTGTGTGTTTGTTAGATCTCTAGCTCATCGTCACTTCCATCCACTCCTTCTGTAGCCAGACAACCGATGAGGATACAGGAACAAACAACGACACATAATCCGCACAAAATACCAAGCACAGCAAAGTGACATATTTGCTCTTGTTTTGTGCTAATAAACTGCCTGTCTTTCTCTGTTAATTTCAGATGGTCAACACAAAAGAAGATCTTAGTGGGTGTTTTAGCATCTTTATTAGTCGGTGCTCTTATTATTGTGCCGACTGTTCTGGGTGTAATGCTTACCCGATCAATAGGTAAATACTTAGCATAAATTATCTTTGAATTGTCCCCAAGAAACGCGTTGCATGAGTTTGTCCGAAGGTAATATGGCTAAACAAAGTAAAACTAGACTATCTATCGAATTTGTTTTCCTATATAAATT